GTAGGCGAGCCGTCGTGCGGGCCGCAAAGGGGTGCCAGCCCGCACGTCCATCCACCCTGTTCTGGGCGTCCCCCTTCCGGCAGCAGAGCCGGCTCCTGGCGGGGGCCCGGGGGCCGGTCGCCGAGCCGAGGCGCGAGGGCGCGCGGCGGGGCCCTGGCTGGCGCATCCCGCGCCCTGAGCCCGCCCGCTTGCCGTCTTCCTGTTCGCGGTCGCCCCCGCTCGCTCCTGTCCCTCGGGGCGGCTCGGGATGGAGCCTGCGCCTCCGGTGGGCGGGGGCGGGGGGTGCTGGCCGAGCCCGCAGACGGCCTCGTGCACGTGGCCCTCCCTCGCGGCCGTGGGAGGACCCGGCCCCGGCCCGGGCGGACCAGCGGGACGCGGACCCGGGCTCGGCCCGGACGCAGGAGCAGCCGGCGAGGCTCGGGGGGCGGGCCCCGCGGAAGCCCGGCGTCCGCAGGCGGCCGGATTTGGGAACGGCATTTTCACGGTCCCACGAGTTCTGTTACCCGGCGGGTGGGGGTTGAGTTTGTTTGTCTTAGGAGGAGGCAAGAAGGGGCGGAAGAGCCCCTGGGACACAAACTGCCGTTTCCCTCGCCCCCTCTCCCTGTCCGCGAGGTCGGTTAAACCGAAGGCGCCCGCAGCTTTCGTCGCCCGGAGAAGCCGGGGTGGGAGTGGGAGAGGGGATGCTGGCGCTCCGGCGCTGGAATCACATTATTCGTTTTCTAGTCCTGCACCCTCGCTTCTCTCCCCGCGAGCATCCTCTTCCGTGGGCCCGCCACCGCCTTCCTCTGGGATCCCACCAAAGTTGTCGCTGGGAGAGAGTCCAGGCCACACAAAGGCGAAGACCCGGAGCCGGCGGGGGTTCGGGCAGAGGGGGCGGGGCGGGCTCTCAAGGGCACCGCGCTTTTCTCTGCTCCCTGTAATTAAGGACTCACTGGAGTGTCTGTAGCTGACTCGACTTGGCAGCCAGATCGCCGGGGGTGGGGTCTCTGGGGTGGGTGGGGGTCACCCTCTTGGGTCCCCTGCCTGCGCCCGCGGGGGCTGGGCCCGGCTTACCCTGGGGGTGCGAGGCCGGTCTCCGCTCCCCCCCCCCTCCGTTCCGGGGCAGAAGGAAGTGTTGATATAAAACAAGTCACTGTTCGCTCCCAAACTCAACCCCAACCAACCAAAGCCACCAAGAGGGGAAAAACCAACAGCAATCCTGCCAGCCCCTAGCAATTGTTTCACGGTCGGAATTAAATCACATCAAAACGCCCCCTGAAACCCACATCCTGAAGGAGTGAACCTGCACCAGCCAACCTCCAGTCGTTCGCTCGAGTTCACACGAACAACCTGCCCCTCCACCCGAGGGAAGGGGGCGGCGGCGGCCGTGTTCCTCCCGCGCCGCACCCACCACATCCCGGACGGTGCGCCCCGAGAGGCGCCCGCAGATGTTCGGAGCAGCCCCCACACGAATCAGAAGAGACCTCCCGGCGGCAGAAATGCCTTTGCTGGAACTTCCCGAACCTGTGGGGAGAGAGGGACGTCTTCCTCCCGCGTCCCGCTGCTCTTTCCCCCAGGAGAGACGACTTCGCGTGGAAATGCCAACCTCCCTCCCCACAGCTCAAAACCAACTCGGGTGCGTGTTTTCTGGTAGAGCCCCCTCTAAGTGCAGCCCATCAGAAGATTTGCAGCAGTGCTAAGCACAAGCAGCCGACACCCCACACGCCACGCAGAGGGAAAACAGCCACGCACACAGAGCCAGGTGCTCGGGGATTTCGTTAGAAACAATATTTCCAAAAGAGAAGGTTGCCGCAAAAACCCAAACGCAGCCACCTACCCTCGGCCCTTCTAATAAACAGTTCCCACTAGTTATTGTTCCAAAATTTCCCGTCTTCTCGAGCTCCTAATCTCCAGGACACCCGGAGCTGAGCTCCAAAGGACTCAGGGAGTCCTGATAATTAACATGAAGGAGAAAATGGGATTCGAATTAGTTGCAACACTTAAACAGGGGGGATGTAGGAGTCGTCGTTTAATCTCTCTTTGGCTTCCAGAAAATACCCTCCGGCCATTCTGTATGCCCCCCTCCCCCTCCTCGACAGTTTGATGGAAAGGAACGTCCACCCCGTCTGCTTTGGTGAAACTGCATTTTCCAGTTCTTTTCCTATCGGTCCGGTTGGTGCATTTGAGGGAGGACTGACTTTGTTTTCCCATATTTCTTTTAGAACAGAGGGTCTAAATGTCTGACATGGCTACGTGTTCACATCTCTAGGACGTTACGCTCACACTGGTGCATGGCTTCAAGGGAAGTTGCATATGGCCACTAACCAAAAACTCAAATTGGATTTCTTTCCGACCTTTTTAGCATTGCCTTACAGACACATTGTAGCAGAATACTCTTTTTTGTTTTTCTTAAGGCATAGCATTGTCAGCTACTTTAAGCAGATTTAATGTTTTACTCTTCCTGGCTCCCTCACCAGCCCCTTATTTCACCCCGATCCTCCAGATGGAGTATCCCTGTGACTACTGTCCATGCTCCATGTGACCAACTGAACCCTTTCAATGATAGTCTTAAAAACTGCTTCCTAGTTAAATTCCCATCTCTAGGAAGTAGTTATCTGTAGGCGAAGTTTTAAGTGCTCATTTAGAGCACTGTTAAGGTCTTTACTTATACAGTGTCCAGCAGCAGGCAATTTCCCCCTTAGGAAAAGAAGAGGGATCTTTGCATGACTATTCCTACATAATAGAGCTAAAGTCTGATTCTCTAGTGTTTTTCCTTATTTTCAATTTAAGAGAGATGGAGACATTTCTTCCTGCCCCTTGTTTACTGTTCTGAGGTTTTACAGATGGCTACTGTATTGGGTATAATAATTTTGCCTGGATTTTTAACTGAGGGGGTTTGAGAGCCAAGGAACAAACTGTAATGTGTTTTCAAACTTCAGCTTCGCTTATACTGTAACTTTCACAAAGCATCTCCTTAAAAGTCCTGTCCTTGTACAAAATGCATCAAAGAGACGGAGGAGGCTGGGGAATTTTTGAGGTTGGATTCGGATTTGCATTTGCATCTTCAAGGGTCCCTTTTAGCGGCAGTCCCAGCGCCAGAGATTGCTCTGTCCTCCCTCCCTCTACTGGCTCTGCTCTCCTGGGCCCTTCTGCCTTCTCTTCTCCCTCCTTGGGTTGTTTTTTCATTCTCTACGAGGTGCCCACTGGCGTGCATCTCCGAAAATCCACGAGACCCAGCCTAACTCTCTCTCTGCATCTCATGGTGAGGATGTAATGAAAGAGATCTTGCTTAAAAAGCGATAATTAGGATCCAGTCTTCAGTTTTTTTCTTCCTCCTCCTATTTCTCTCGGTAAGCCTGGAGATTTTATTTTTGCTAGCATGTGCTCCCTTGTCCTTTGACATTATATTTGGGAAAGCCACAACTGTCTTCCTTGTACTTCTTGCTTCCATTCTTTCTAATTAGTTGAGCAATGTCTGTTATATTTTCCCCTTTTCCTTCTCTCTGTCCCGGATTCCCGCCTCATTCCCTCTGTCAGAGCATCTATCAATGTGGTGTCGATCACAGCTGCGGCGGCTTCTCTTTCATCTTCTTCCCCCGCCAGAGCGAGGGAGGGAGAGGGGGAGGCGGAAAGGAGTGGGGGGAGAAGCTGGCAGAGGAAGGTGGAGGGGGGACAAGAGAAGAGAGACTTAGAAGATGAAGTTAAACCATTCCGGCAGAGTTTCTTGTCAGTTTCACGCGGGCAAAGCGTGCCTCTCCGTGGGTTACAAGAAGCGCCGGGTCCTTCCTTCCGTCGCCAAGTTGCCTGATCCTTCCCTCCAGGCGCGCGCGCACACACACAAACACACACACATACACACCCCAAAACTAGGACTCGTCCTACAGGCTCCGGGAAAAGAAAAAAAAGTCCTCAATCACCACCTCCTTCTCGCCATCCCCCTCCTCCCCCCCCCCCCCCACCCCAGCGGGCAGCCAAGGAGAGCTGGAGGCGGGGGAGGGGAGGGGAGGAGAAGCGACGACGCAAGTGGGTAGCTTTTCAGCGCCGGCGAGGCGCGGGAGGAGGAGAAGCGGTGGGGAGGCGCAGCAGCTCACCTGCGGGGCAGGGCGCGGAGGAGGGATCCGGGTTGCGCGTTCTCGGGCCAAGGAGCCCGGACGCGCCCGGAGCCCCGCACGCCGCCAAGCTCAGGGCGTCCCCCTCGCCTGGGCCGGGCGAACCCGAGGGGTGCAGCTCTTTGCTTTGACAGAGCGGCCCGGCGGAGGCGTGGAGAGCGGCAAGCGAGAGAGCCAGGCTGAGAAACTCGAGCCGGGAACAAAGAGGAGTCGGGCTGTGTGTGTGTGTGTGTATGTGTGTGTGTGTGTGAGTGTGTCGGCTCCAGCTCCCAGCAGAAGCATTTGGGTCCGAGGCCCCTGCTGTGACTCCCCGAGACCCCGCCGTGCCCTCCACTGCCGACTCCCAGCGCTCGCCGGCACAAACTTTATTCTTGGCAAACTTCTCTTTCTCTTCTGCTCCTCCGCCCCCACCTTCTCCTCCTCCTCCTCCTCCAGCAGATTAAATGCGCCTGGAGAGGGAAAACCGAAGCGAAAGGGAAGGAAATAAGAAGCTCTAAAACGGACATCTCCAACCCGGGTGGCTCTTTATTTTGTTTTACTCTCCAGGAAGTGGACATTTCGTTATCTTCTGATTCTCCTTGCACCTTCTCCGCTGGGGCAAACGGAGCCTTTTTGCCCAGCTCCCTTCTTTTCTCGGAAAACAGACTCCCAAAGGCGAAGCTAGGGTGGCGCGGTTTGCCTAGAGACGCGCCGACGGACCCTCCTCGCTCGGCACTTTGGAGTCGCGCCTCCTCCAGAACCGGCGTCCTCCGCGCGCGGACCGGGAGACGCTGGGGGCGTGGGGTGGCCGCCGGGCAGCCTAGCCTAGCGCGCGCCCCCCGCGCCGCGCCGCGCAGACGCCCCCGGAGGCGGCGGCCCTCGCAGCCCCGTGCCCTTCGGCCTCGGGGGCGGGCGCCGGCGTCGGGCTCGGCGGAGCGGGAAGGCGCGGGCCGCCGCAGCTGCTCCGGCCGCCGGCCCCGCTTCCGCCCGCGCTCCTCCCTCGCGCATCCTTGCAATTCTCCTTTTCCTCCCCCCCTTTCGCTGACCCCCTCTCTTTCCTGCTGTCGCCTCGGGTGCTCCCCCAGCGGAGCGGAGATTACAGAGTGGTCGCGATGCCCCAACTCTCCGGGGCCGGCGGCGGCGGGGGGGACCCGGAACTCTGCGCCACGGACGAGATGATCCCCTTCAAGGACGAGGGCGATCCCCAGAAGGAGAAGATCTTCGCCGAGATCAGTCACCCCGAAGAGGAAGGCGACTTAGCCGACATCAAGTCCTCCTTGGTTAACGAGTCCGAAATCATCCCGGCCAGCAACGGACACGAGGTGAGCGGGCCGCCGCCCCGGCTCCGAGAGGCGTGGCGGGTCCGGGAGAGCGGGGGGAAGGAGGGAAGGCGCCGCAGCCCGGCCGACGGCCCGGGGGGCGCCCCGCTTGCTGGGGGCGGGCTGGCTGGGCTCTGGTCAGCGTCCTTCCTTTGTGTGTGTCGCGTGGAGGCGGAGGGGCGTGCAGGGAAACTTGTCCCCAGTGGGTCCCTTTTGATTTGGGTGGCGAAACCGTTGGTTTGCGGGCAGGAGAAGTTGCCCTCAACCCTTGACGCTTCGCCTTCGGACCTGCTTAGTGGGGCCGAGCGGGCGGGCGCCTTAGAGCGAGGATGTCTGAGCGCCGCCGCCGAGAAGTTCTTCCGTGGGACGGAAGACAGCGCGCGCCCGCTGCCGCGCTGGGCAGGCGTCTCTGCACCCGCGCGTTAAAGCGCCGGAGGCTGAGGCCGGGGCGCGCAGAGCCTCACGGAGAGGAAGGGCCGGCGGGCGTGGGCCGGGGCGCGCGGGGCCGTCCCAGCCGCCGCCGGGCGGGCCAGCGCCGAGCCGCCGGCCGAGGGGCGCCGGGGCGGGGGCGGCGCGGGCTGGCTCCGGGGCCGCCGAGTGGCAGAGCCGGGCGGGCCTCCCCGGCGGGCCTTGCAGCGCCGCCCGCAACGCCAGTTTTCCCCAACCCCCGTCACTTAAAGGAAAAAAACCCGGCTTGTATTCGGGGTTAGTCTGGGCCCGGATCAGGCCTTCAATCTATGCAGAAAGAGGCGAGTCAGAATGGAGATGCGGCGGAAGCCAGGGCACCCACTCCGGGAGGGTGCAGGGCGCCTTATCAGATCTCCAGGCCGGCGGCGAGCGCGCCGGTAACCCGAGCTGGTAAATAGAGCCACGTGGGCGCCGGCGAGGGAGCGCGAGCCCGCCGCGCGGCCGGCGAGTTCGGGCCGCGCGGGCCCCCGCAGCGGGGCGGGGGCGGTGGCCCCTGACACCGGCGCTCCCCCGGCCACCCTCGTCTACGACTGGGAAATGCTCTGGAGGAAATCCGGCAGAAAAGTCCTGACAGTCAAATGGTTTCACCAACGCTTTTTCCCTCCAAACAAACTTGGAGGGTATACCCTTTTTCCTTAAATGGCATCTTTCTGCCCCCAAAAGAAAGCGTGTGGTTTTGGGGGCGGGGACATTTTGGGTTTTAAACACACGTTTAAGAACACCTCAGAGTTACCTTCTTAATCCCAATGGCGGGGGTGAGTACGCGTTTTGGAAAGATGGGGGCCTGGTTCTAGGATAACCTAGGAGAATCTGGGAGATTCTTTACCCCCTGAATCTTTCATCCCAATATGCCAGTTTGACGGGAACCGGGGTGGCTCGGGTGCACCCAATTCCACTAGAAAGGTTTGGGACTTTGTGCGTGGGGGGCGGAGGTCGCTGGGAGGACACACGTCCAAGGAACCACGTTTAACATCCCGCTCAGCGGCAAAACTCATGTTTGCAGAGCAGTTTCTTTTTCTTTCTACTCCTTTTGCTCGTCCTCCTTTATTCCGTCAGTTTGCCACCACTTCACATTTTCTACCGTTTCTGCTCCGGGGAGAAGGGCACTGGCTTTGAAGCCCAGAACCCAGGGCTCTGTTGGTCTTTGCCGCGGTGCTAACTGGGCATGGGGCAGACCCAAGATCTTGAAGGGGTAACACCACTGATTTGCACGTGGTTGAGTCTGGGTGGATGGTGGTTACCAGGACTGATGTTAGCTGGGCTACCTTTTAGATGTCTGTAACCCCACTCTCAAATGTTCCTCCCTTTAACCACATAGTAGTTCACTTTTCTCTTGTAAGCTTCCACTCAGCCAGCCATGGTAGGTTCTAAGTGGCGCTCCTGCTGGGGACTGGCTTGGGACAATCGCCTTAAGACCCCCATCTGTGAGTGGTTGGCTTGTTTTTGTTTAAAATGTCGTTTTCAGTTGCAAAATGATATTTCAGCCTGCTTTTAATCAGCTCTGATTGAAGTGAACAGTGGTTGAAGAAGCCATCAAAACGATCAGCCCCGTCAACTCAACTGTAATCTTGGGCACCCTGGCAGCCTCCATACCCTGTTAGCAAACAGCAGTGAGAACAGCGTGTGGATCTTTCCTGACTTTACTACATTGTTACTGTTTTTGTTATAATTTAGACTTTCTAGTTCTGGATAGATAGTAAGCGCTTAAAAATACATGTTGGGGGAAAAAAAAAGGGTTCCCAGTACTCAGCCCTGGCCTACCCCTCTACGAGTAATTAAGCATGTAGATTGAGTTGACTAATTCTGCCTGTGTGTGAGCGACACACAGGTCAATATTGTCACAAACTCTAAGGTGATGTTTCTTTCTTTTGGGGGTGGGGATTCATGCTGTTAGGTGGCCAGACAAGCACAAACCTCTCAGGAGCCCTACCATGACAAGGCCAGAGAACACCCCGATGACGGTAAGACGCTAATTCTGCTCCTCCCAGCTTTATCCTTCAACATTTGCCATGTGTGAATATAGTTATGTTTTGCTGTATTTATTTGAATCCAAGAAACCAGGATCAGATGTGATAAGACTGTGCCCACTATTTTAACAAAATGGGAAAGAAAACCCAGAAAACGTATTGTTTATTCTAATATATATTTACATAATTTAAAAACTGTCTTTGAATGAGTTAGGGGCCTTTGGATTTCAGTTGGCTTCCAGATTTTTTGTGGACGAGGAAATGTCTGTAATGAGTTTTCCTTTTTTTCCTCATTTTGCCTAAAGTTCTAATTGGCTTAGATCTTTGGTATTTTTTCCTGCATTGTTATAAAGAGTGACAGTGTGTATCAATTTATTTTTCCAACGAGAATAGTTTCAAGTGGATTTTTGTTTGTGAAATTGCTGTTTCTTGCTACAGTGAGAAGGCAGTGAACGCACAGATTAAATATGGCTTCGTAGGGCAGAATCTTAACTTGTAAAAATATAAAACTTTGCTCTCAAAATTAGGAACTATGTATATAGAACTTGATAGGTTTTCTTCCCATTTCTGATTCTTGCTCAAAACTTAAAAAATTGTGTATATATTTTAGATTTAAGGAGAACTCCCTGTGACTTTGAAAGAGTCAAGTAATCTGTCAAGTTTCGTTGTCTGATACTCTGCATTTCTGTTCTCCTTTAATTACTTACAATTGGCCTGACCAAAGGAAGCTTTCGTACATAGAGTATGTCGGCCAGGAGAAGAAGGGAAGAGAACCATAATATTAGGCTTCCTTCTGAGCTACAAAGTAGTTATGCAGATTAAAGAGAAGAAATGTATATACTGAACACACATACGTTTCTTTGGCAGAATGATGTTAAATTTAGCACATAAAATTAAGTCTCCTGGAGTTAATCCTGCATCAGTTTGAGTAGTTGCCCATATACTCTCCCTTAGTAAAATCTAGACATTTTCCAGAAATCTGGGAGCACAGGTAGAATTTTTGAGTTTGCCTCTAAGGTGCAGCATAACTTCAAGTGTATAAATACATACGCATGTGTAGCTAGATGGGCTGATAGAGTTCCATTACAGCTTTAGGTTTGTGTGTGTTCTTTTGTGTGTCTGTAATTCTTGGTCCAGTTTGTTAGTATTAGAACAAATTAAGTTAGCTGGATACACTTAGTTTTGTTAAAACACCAGTCAGTAGTGGAAGTAAATTGAACCACATGTTTTTAAAACATCTGGTTCGCTGCTAAGCCATTTAAGAGAATAAATACTGTCAATCTAAAATAGAGCATAATAATCCAGTTACAATATTTTGTAAACAAGTTTTTTATGTAACATCTGACTTGCCGTAGAACTGTTAGATTTTCAGATGAAAAATGCAGTGACATAAAAAAGCAGGCAGTCCATCCTTGACTCTTGCTTGGATCCTCCCAGGGAAGCATCCAGACGGAGGCCTCTACAGCAAGGGACCCTCCTACTCGAGTTACTCCGGGTACATAATGATGCCAAACATGAATAGTGACCCGTACATGTCGAATGGATCCCTGTCTCCGCCCATCCCGAGAACAGTGAGTAACGTGCTGATGTCGCACAGTGCCTTCAGAAGTGCAGATGAATGTGTATTTTGGCAAAATGTTTGTTTTTTAAAACGCATTGGAAATGCTTTCATTATATATGGCCAGTCCTTGCTAGATAAGACCTGCTCTGAGGAATGGCTGCCTTAAGGCAGTGCTGCCTTGGATGTCTTGCACTTGGAATTTCAGCTTTTGGCTTATTGGTTAAGATTAATAAATAACAGATCACAGATTATCGTGAAAGCAACTGAAATTGAATCAACAAATTCAGGATTTTATGAATATTGTGCCTTCTGTGTTGACAAGAAGAAACAAACAATTTAATCTTTCAGTTAACTAAGTACTATATGGCTTTCACTGCCTGTTAGCTGTCTAGAATCAGAGATACTTTGGCTCATTTGGGGCTGAACATTTGAAATCTTTCTTCAGCTTTTAGAACAGCGTCTCGTTTCATTATATTAGCTAATGTTTCTTTAAAATCAGCTTGGGGGGGTGGGGAGATGAGCTGTTTTTTCTTTGTTGTTAATTACTGAGAAAGTATCACTTGAAGATAACCCTAATGAACATTTTTCCTTTTCAATCTCGTCATTACATTTTCAAGTTGTAAAAATGCAGTGGCAGCATAACTGTATTATGTAAATGTAACACTATGAGGAATTTCACATATGTTACTTGACAATGTTTCTCTGTGTTGGGAAGTGGAAACCTCATCCACACAGTAGAAAAACAGCTAAAGGGGAGCTTGTGTAGTGTGTGGACACGAAATGTGCCGGTGATGAGTTCTTCCGGAAAACTGTCCCTCCGGCAATGGTGACGGCCTTTTACTGATCCATCAATATATTTACCTTCTCTCTAGCCTCACTCTCCTTCTACTGCCCAAACGCCCCAGTGAAAGACGTGTATTTGGGTCTTGGGTTTAGAGGTCCGGTCTCCCTGGGCCTACGGGGAGTCCAATCCAGGATCGTAAAATGGGACCCATGGACTTTGCCATAGTCGCCCACTGCTTCCACCAAGTGAAAAAAATCATATACAGACAACTGGGGAGAGTGCTGTCCTTAATACCTCAGTGAACAGAATCTGGGAGCAGAGGGCTCCCCAGAGTAGCAGAGAGGAATGGCTCACAGTCACTCCTCCACACACAAGAGTATCCGTGGTCGTCTTGGTTATCTGTAGCCCTCAATTGTTGAAATGATAGGTCTGTGAAATATAGCCACTTTGTGTGGGCACTGTGATTTAGAAGTTATTGGAATTTTTTTCCCACAGATTTCAAAAGGATATTTGACCTTTCAAGTAGGGAATAAGATTTTTCTAATTTTCATATAGCAGCTAAAACGATGATCTTGGAGATGTGATGGATGTTAGAGGACATGGCAATTTCACATTTTATTTTAAAAGGCTTTTCAAATATTTAACGATAGAGATGTCTGTGTGCTACAGATGAATCTCCTACCTAAAAAATGAATGAGCTAATAAAAGCAAATATAATTTAATATTTAGAGACCACCCCAAATAAATGCCTCTGAGTTTTAAAATTTGTAGGAGACTTACTTGTTGAACTAAAAATGCAAACATATCAGGTATTTCTTTTAAAGTTGCACCCTTTTGTTTTGTGGGTTTTGTTTAGGGGGGAGGAAAATATGTTTTAGATAGAAATAATTGAAAATTTCTGTTGAAAGGCTTTTCAGAACAGCAAATCTTTCTGACAAGTCAAATTTAATCTCTGACTTGGTAACAATAGAAATAGGCACAAAAACAATCTTAGACTTTCTGGCTGTGTACACAGTTAATGCTTAATGAGTATTTGTAGAATTTATTCCTTAGTTCAGCCACTTCTCCCTTCAAAACAATAATTTTTCAGTCGACATAATAAAAATCTCTTGGTATCTATAAATTATCCCTAAGAATATTGAAAATTAAGTTTCTCTTTAAACCAGCGTTTTCTGCCTGAGGTCTCTCCAGCCTTTCCTCTCCCCCTCCTGCTGTACTAAACATTTTAACGTTTTGATAGAATGGAAAGTATTTATTGTTAGTGTATGTATTAAAATTTTGAGGTGAGTGAGTTAGTTGAATAGTCATTCATTGTTTAGGAAAGGTTTGTGGCCAGAATACATGTTGGTGGGTGGAGAGTAGGGGAGAGAGAGGGGTGTGGTCAGGAAGCAGTTACACTGTTATCTGCTGCTTTGGTTTATTCTGCTACATTTTGGGACATATTTATTTTAAGCACGTTTTCTTGCGATATTCTGCAGTTTGCACATAATCCAGACGCTGTTCAGTTTTAACCTCAAGGCTGCGTCCAGTTTTTTTTAGGGTCCAAACGAAGTGAGTTGTAATCTTTGGTTTTTCTGCCTAACAGCTGTTTTTAACGTGTGTGAGATCCAACACGCTTGAACCGGAAGGCAGCCTCTCCTCTTCACCCCAAACCACACTGCCTTCTTGCTCTTCAGCTCTGCCCTTAGCAGGACCTAGCGCTGCCGTGACTGACATCCACTGAGAGTGTTTGCAGCGAGGGTGTCAGGAACTGGCAACCATTTGTGTTTGGGCTCAGGGTGGGAGCAGCCCTGTGGCAACCCTGTTCCTTGAATTTGCATTACAAACAACCGCTTGTTTACTGCATCTGCTGCCGGCAGGTGTGAGGACTAGAAAAACATCTGGGGGTAGGGGAGGGCCCTGACTGCCCCTTCCCCACACCCAGTCTTCCCTTTGCATGTAACTGCAGGTAATCCGGAGGATACCAGCTCCGAGATGTTTCTGCTGGTGGTCCTGCTGGTGGCTCGTTTTGACAATTCTGTTTGCTGTTGCTCCTCTTCAGACAAACACTGGCATTCGTAGCTGCGCTGCTTTTCCCTCTGCCCTGAGCACAGAATCACCACCTCGGGAGAGCCACCCTAACCAGTCTGGCTTTTTTCCTTCTGAAGGGAAATTTTAATTGGCGAATTACATCCTTCCAGAACTGGAATTCTTAGAGGTGTGTCTACACCAAAAACCTTACGAATGGGTGTCTCACAGATTTTAAATAAGAATTCTTGGTTCAGATAAATCTGGCCTAACAGGAAGGCACCTATAATCATAACACATTTGGTGTCAGTGTGAGTTCTTAGAGCACAGTCAACCGTGGCTGGAGTTGGTTGTCTTCATAGAGAGTGAGAAGAAGATGCACAAGCTTCTTAAATATTTCAGAGCAGGGACCCTGGAGAGTTGATTAAAAGCGTACTCCCAAGCCTTTCTTTCCTGAGTCTTATTTATGAAAATCCCTGCAGGCCAATGGTAAAGTATTAAAAGAAAGAAAAGAGTTGGTTGCCTCCTCCGCTGGGCCCTGGCCCTTGTGTGCCTGAATACCGGTGAGCAGCGAGCCTGGCTGGCTTTCACTCAGTGAAAGTTCCCGTTGGCCTAACGCACTGCGGTTATTCGTCTTAGGTGTCAAACTTCCATTTGTCCCTCATGCAACCCGAATGTTTAACACCTCTGAAGAGAAGCATCTCGTTTCTCTTCAGATGCTGGGGAGGGAGAAGCAGCCGGCTCAGCGCAGGAAGCTGCAGCCAGTGTTGCAGCCAGCCGTGCCGGCCACAGCACCTGGGCACCTGGGCACCTGGGCACTGCTGACCTCCTCGTTTTGTTTCCTTGTGATCTTTCTGAGGATGGATGTTTAGGTGGGAAAGGAAGATGTTTGTCTTCACATTTCATCTTTCTTTCCTTATTTTTAATAGACATTGCTATTAAAATTTTTCAGGGGGTCTTTTTTCATTATTTTGAGTAACTTGGTTCTGTTGCATGGTTTTTACCTTAAGGGAATCAACATTTTGATATCTGCTGAACAGAATTATACCTATTATAACTTTGTCTTAACTCTCCCCCCCAATGTTTGTATTTGCTTACCCAACAGCTGAAATTTGATTTTTGTCGTTGCTCAGATCTGGAGTCAAGGAACTAAGGTGGACTTGTCTAGTCAGGAAGCTTCTCAGCACCATTGTACGTCATGTTGCTGCCTAGCTTTGAAAATAACCACAGAAATAATCATGAATTCAAGGGTAGGGGAGACTGTGGCTTGTATTTTGAGCAGGATTTTTAAGGCTGAGTGTCTTTACTGCAAGGAGCTACTTAATTTAAGTTATTGGTAAATATTTTTAATCTTGTAATCTAAGCCATGTACTTTCTGAAGCTAAGATATTGAGTTTTCCTCTTTACCTCAAGTGCAGGAGAAGCTAAGTTTTAGAGAGTGTATTCTATCTCCAGTTTGAATGTGGATGTCAGGAGGATGTGTGGGAAAATTCCTCAGAGCCCCCAAATCGTGTGTTTGATTTGTTCTTAATTGTACTGCTACAGAGTTGGGAAAGGATCACATCAGAATAGATGGGAGCTGCTGCCAGCCCCTCTCCAGATGTGTAGATGCTCATGACCCAAAGGTTTGCTTCCTCCAGTGTCCCAGGGAGCCACACTGAACATGACCCTTCAGGAGCTAACGCTGCGCTTGCATGATCTATATGGCAAGAGGGTGATCCTTGCTCAGATATGTTTCTTTGAAATGACCCTAGAAATTCCTTGTTTGTTCATAAAGACATGAGAAAAACCCAGTTTCGTTAAAACAAGACCATTGAGCCAACCTGCAGAAAACCTTGCCCTTTGAAGTCTACCCCCACTGCCTGCCCCCATGTAGGCTCTGGACTTGCTCTCATCTACCCCATTATGTTGATCCAGTTGCTCCTGTGGTCAGAGACCCATGTGATTTACCAGCTTGACACAGGGCCCTACAAATGCGTCCATCTGGTTTTGAACCCGTAGCCTCACAAGTTTCCTTTCATAATATCAGTTGAGAACATTTTGCAGCTTTTGAGATTTCTTTTTTAAATACTAATCTTGTTAGTTCTTTAGGCAGAACCATTTTTGGTTTCTGCGACTGAAATTTTGTTAAGCAATCAGATCATTCCGTTCCTCTCTGACTCCTTTTGTTCTTCATTTTTATGTATTATAGATGCGATTGGAATTTTATAAAACTGGTT